CTTGGCGCACACACGGTTTTCATTGCCTATGTGTTTTTTTGTACAAATAAATAATTTGATAATTAATATGCCTTCAATCCATTTTCTTGAGACATATTACACGTACATGAATCATGAATTTTCTACGTTTTTATAATTTTGAACACATAGTATGCCCTGGGATCTGACCTGAAATATACATGAAACATTGAAAATTCACGATAGTAAGGTATATAGGAGCAACATTTAAATTCAAAGGGTTAGGGGTTTGTTCTGAGTCGGAAATAATTCGGAACACAACGTTATTCCCCACTGCCATGCACCAAACATTTTTTTCTTGAAATAAACGGTATGGGGAATTCTGGAATTCCGATTTTTTTTGTCAACTGCCAGACCACAATATTTTTTTCTCTCATCAAATTGGGGATCAGAATATGATCAGAATAGGCCTCCAGATTTCTTTTGGAAAATTTGGTGTTCACCCCAAGAACCGGGTTGGCCACAACATAACAATTTCAATTTTATTTACAATTTACACGGTGTGCATATGTTTAAGTATGTTTAAATGAAGATATTTGCATATAGTTTAGGACTTTATTCATTATAGGTTGAAAAATACAGGCAAAGTTCAGATGTTTATGAAGTGTTATATATTTTGACTTTTGTGAAACCTTAACAGAATAGACAATTGGGCAAATCTGATGAAAAAAAAAACGAAAATTCCTAGTAACAAAAAATTAACCCACATAACAGCAATTGAAATCTCCTCCCCAAGAAATTGTACCTCAGGACCTGTATAATGCTGGAAGTATTTTAATATGCCTTTGGAACACCCTTTTAAAAAATTGGGTATGGTTCTCCAGGCCACGGCTTAGGTAGCACTTCACAGTTAGAAAATAAAATTAAAATTGAGCCACAGAATGTCTGATAATCTTCCAATCCTGGCCTTCAAATACTAGTACATTAGGCCAACTGTACTAGTACCCCCTTTTTTCTGAGAAACCCTGGCTAGCACACCCTTCCTTTTTTCACAGTGTCTGGATCCGCCCCTGACCGATACGTAGTACTCAACTATGATCAACTGTAGGTCATAATAAAGGACGAAATACGTAACGTAAATTAATTCAAGCGTGAGGGGCCCCCATATATCACGGCTAAAATTGTACTTAGTTTGTCCTTTTATACAACCTTTTGGCAAGTACCACCATCCGAGAAATCAGTTACCACGATCTTTCAAAATTAACATGAACAGTAACCATCATCAACGTCCTTTTTTTTCACTCTCTCTATTTTCTAAGTAATGTACAACTGTTTACGCTTGTCAGCAGTGTTTATCATTGTTTTCATTAGTTTACAAGTTGTGACCTTCGAAATTGTTTTATTCAATGTTCCTATAGATTTTTATGGTAACTCCCTGTGCCCCTAAAAAACAAACAAAATAAAGTTTCCCTCCCATAAAATTTTACACTTAAACGTTGATTTGAAAAAAAAACTTGATTTTATAATTTTGGTTATCAATTGAAATGAACCTTCTAGAGCCTCAACCTAACGCGCACAATAATGTCAATCATTACACATCAAATTTAACCCTAAATTGACATTCCACAATCGGTCAGTAACATCACCTGTGTTTATAGCTACATGATGTTTCCCGCCGTTGGAAGATCTCGTGCAGTGACACAATTGATAAAATCTATTTTTAACATCTCTATTGTGAGCGAAATTTTTGACGTGCATTATTTCATTATTAAAAATGTTCGATCTACATTTGTTGCAGTCTAAAATTTAATTAAAAGAAACGTAATATCATTTCTTTTTCTTTGGCAATTATAGTAAATTAATCTCATCCCGGAATGTATATTCACTTTACCATTAGACCTGAAAGTGATTTCTAATAAATGAAGAAACTGTGTTTCACATTAAAAAATTTAAGAATATTATCGCTCAGGCATATTTATTTTATTTTAAGATGATTGATTGTTGGTTGCTTAACTTCCAGTGGCAAATATTCCATGCAAGTCCGGACAAACTTAGTTTTAAGATCGCACTTTCAAAAATCATTGTAAAACAAAAATGATCAGAAGAACTTTTATTCATGTGAAATAACCGTCCAATCTTTTAAAAAGAACTTATTTACATTTCAAAGTGTAACAGATTAGTTTACAAGACAGGCATTGACGTTAAATATACAATTCCTTGTATCATATATATAATGGCTATTATATCTATGCTTGTATACATGTACGTAACTTTCATATCTTTTAAATTGAACTTTTTTGTCTAAAAAGACAACCCACGAGTTTGCGAAATCGAGTTTGAATGCACTGCATTGTGTGTAAATACATATACATATTATGCAACGACGGTCTGACTCAATGTATTACCAGGGTTGCGTTCAATATCGTAGCGGCTACGTAGTGCTATGTAGATTTTTACTATTGAACGTGTAGCTATAGATAAGCTGCTACATAGATATTGATAGCAACTACATAGCCGCTACGTAGCTGCTACGATATTGAACTCAACCCAGTTGACCCCTGATACCAACTAAGGTTACTAAAGACTTTCCCCTGGCCGTTCATTTAATTTTTGTTTCAATAAACGGTTCTAGAAGCAATTAAATGATCTGCGGCCTCTGACAAATAATTAAAAAAAGTAACCATCTAATCCCCAGATATATATAATCTGTTTCTCTCTAAATTTACAGAAACATTATATGATATATTTTTGAAAATTCCTTATATCTCAAATGATTATAGTTACTTTGTTTTTAATTCTGTAAACATCTATATATCATAATTTGTACCACACTACAATGATCTATTAATAACCGTCGCTCACGCATAACGGATTATACAACGACCTATTAATAACCGTCGCTCACGCATCAGTGATTCTATCAATGACTCAATACACACCAGTTTTATCGGACAAACGGCTAATTCCCGCCGACACGGAAAATCTCCGGATAACATGCAAAATATCCTGTAATACAGCAAATTTACGATGAACCTCTAATTTTTATCCGTTTCGCGGAGATTAGCCAAAAAACACCGGAGTTTTTACAAAAATCGCGGTGATTTTCCAAATAGGTCTGCCAGTGGTTAGTGGTAGATCTTTGGAAGTCAGTTTTAGTGTTAGTGGTAGATCTTTAGAAGTCAGTTTTGGTGTTAGTGGTAGATCTTTGGAAGTCAGTTTTGGTGTTAGTGGTAGATCTTTGGAAGTCAGTTTTGGTGTTAGTGGTAGATCTTTGGATGTCAGTTTTAGTGTTAGTGGTAGATCTCAGTTTTGGTGTTAGTGGTAGATCTTTGGAAGTCAGTTTTAGTGTTAGTGGATTTGGAAGTCAGTTTTGGTGTTAGTGGTAGATCTTTGGAAGTCAGTTTTGGTGTTAGTGGTAGATCTTTGGAAGCCAATTTTGGTGTTAGTGGTAGATCTTTGGAAGTCAGTTTTGAAAATGTGTACAACTTATTTATACCAATGATTTAGGAAAGTCTTGTCATTGTGGATGATGTGCTGATATTTTGATGTCTTTATTTGTTATATGTTCAACATACAATAGATAAAAATATCTAAAGATCATCTAGAAGACATATTGGGTAAATATCAATGAGACAGCATCCCAACAATGTTATTTTATTGGTATCAATTAAAGTCATATTTGTTTATATATCTTTAGTTGGTTAAAAAATGGTAGAGTCTCTCCAAATGATAGAAGCAGAAATTTGTCTAAAATTTCAACACCAGATGCGCACATTCATGTCCACAGTCCTGTAGACAAACCTGTGCAAGTCTGGCTAAATTCTGTTAAGCCTTTTCAAGGAGTTCCCAGGGGGGGGGGGATTAACAAACTGATATAATCAGGAATGGCTAATTGGCCCTCTTCAACTCATGGGTTGCCCTCGATTTCCCTTCAAATCAAGTCTAGTGAAAAATATAGATACATGTACCATGTACATATTGTACTGTGGTGAGCATACTTGTACATACCAGTACATAATTGGTATAATCAATACAGGTCACCTAAATCTAATTGTCAGTTGATAATGGGAGATTAAGATACTAGGTGTTAGATGGTAGTACTATCCTGTAACATTCTTTTATAATTGGATTATTTTGACCACTTGATGTTATGTTTCCTGAGTGATAGTGTTGTATTTCCTTTGTAAGTACTTCCTTACTTCTCAGTCTTAGTTTTTGTTACTTTGTTGTGTGCATATACATGGTCAATTTAAGTGTATTGTTCATTTCTGATGGTTACTATGTAACCACTTAAATTTATGGGTGAATAATGTTATCATTTATTGTTTTCCTTTAACATTTGCTTTTCTATTATTTTGACTACCCTAGCTCATAGGGCCAATGCCTTTATTGCCATTAGTTAATGGACTTCATTTTTTTTCTGTCAGTACAAATGTTTTAAACAATTGAAGCCATTCAGCCAATGATCACAAAATAATATTCTCATGAGGATGAATGACACATTTGTGATTGTTTTTAAAGAGGTTAATGCTTTTTGTCAACACTCTTTATTGTTGCTTCTGATGTTATGAAAAATGATGATTTGTAACCCCCCAATAAAATCTTTTAGACGTCATGAAAACTTTTTTAACAGAAATTGAATAAAATTTTAAGTTTATGAATTATAGTTGACAACACTAAGGCACAACCATCACTATTACAGTTGCAACAGGAATAGAAAAATAGACCCACTCAGTATTAAAGAAAAATGCTGTGAAATCTTGTAAAGGAACAATTGTTGTTACAAAATTCTGATAAAACAATACATTTGAGATCCTTCAAGAGTTATTACTGACAACCAAAACTGCTATCAGGTATTATCACTATTGTTATTTATAAATGCAGCGAATTTCAGATAGAAATTTAAAAATAAATTTGTATATGTTAAAAGTAAACCCTTAATATTCTAAAATCAGATCTGGCACATTGCTTCATAAAACATTTTTTCATTTCTGTTATTTGGCCATCTTTTTCATCTTATAAATAACTGGTTTCTCTTTCAGTCACCGAAAATAACATTAAAGAGTCAGGCTGCATCAGTACCAGGGCAGATAACTCTAGGTCAACAGCCAACAAAAGACGCTTCATTCCAGTCCCCAGGACAACAAAGTCAGTCCTCACAGTCTTCAGGGTCAGCTACAATGGATTTATTAGGAGATTTAGGGGGAGATCCATTTGGTTCTTCATCTTCAACTCCATCACAGCCTTCAGGGGCAGGAGATCATGGTTAGTGCAGTACTTGATTTAAATAAATGCAATTTGTTGGTTTTCATTGATTAAATGTTATGTGTAAAATTCATGGTCTATGTGATGAAGGAGTTGTATGGAAATTTAAAATTCTAACTTTTATATTTCCTTAGTTTTGATTAAGTACACTCAAAGCAGATCAGAAATGTCTAGTGGTAATATATGTACATGATATTTTATTTAATCTATTACTATTTATTAAATGAAACATAATCTGTGACAGCAGAATCAATGATTTATGTCTGAAAACCACTTATCTCTAAATGTTGATTTGACAATTACCGTACATGATTTATTAAACTTAAATTTGGCATCTAAAGTACCTGGTACTGTATAATTACATCTCCAAAGCTGTCTTGAGAAAAGTTGCAATTTGTGATTGGCAAAGGATTACCACATTTAAATACAGATGTTTGGACCAATTAAAAAAGATTTTTTTGTGTACCATTAATTTAACATCTATTTGTAGTGACATCATTTAATAGTCTTTTAATCAAAATAAGTTTAATAAATTTCTCAATTTAAAGTTGCAGGTGGATTTGCTGACTTTGCTAGTTTTAATCAGTTTGGAGCACAGCCTACACCAGCACAGCCACCAGTACAATCTTCATTCCCAGGTTTCCAGGCTCCTCCTAGCAGTAAGTCAGATCTTAGACATTTTTTTCATTGAGGATGGTTTAGGTTTTAAAAAAAGTGCCTCTCAAACCCCCATGCCAGCCATTTAAAGCTCTCATTGTATAAAAATTAGAGGAGGGGTATGGTTGCCAATCAGAGTCCAAGTAATGTGGATGTAACTTTAGGATACTATACGCTTTAAACAACGAGCAAAACCCATTCCATATAGTCAGCTATAAAAGGCCCCACCAGGGGAAATGTGAAACTCTTCAAATCAGAAAATCAATGGCCTGATTAAGGACAAAACAATAAACAAAATCAAATATGAGATGCAGCAACCAAATTACAACCACTGAATGGCTACATATTTGAGACAATACTAGAGAATTTGGCAGGGATTAAAGAAGTTTTTGAGTGCTCAACCCTTCCCTTTACCTGGGACAGTGTTGTAACAACACAACATAAAAAAAACTGTAAAATTCAGCTTATCTGATTGGCACAATACACAAAAAACAACAAATATTATTTAAGACAAAAGACACCAAGTACTGATCTAAGAGTACCACATCCCTCTGATTTAGCAAGCTTAATAAGCTTTAAGGTTAAATAAAATTAAATTAGTAAATGCAGGGAACTACTGTGGAATCATTTATTTTTGTGGGTATAAATTTTCGTGGATATTTGATTTCGTGGTTTTGCCAAAGTCTACATACATTCTTATAGAAAATTTGTAATTCATTGTACATTGGAATTCGTGGTTCACCTGAATCCACGAAATCCAGGAAAATTGGTATCCAACGAATAATAATGAATCCACAGTATTATATATCTAGACATTCTCGCTTTGTTTGAAGTTAGTTTGAATGCAATGTCATTGAAAACATTTTGACAACATCTATTGTATAATGTCAGATGGGTGAAATTAAAGCAATTCTTTCACATAAAATTATCCATTTTCATTTGACTGGGAGATCACAGCATTTCATTTGCAACCAATTTAATTATAATATTAATTACAAAATGGCTGTTATAAATAGAATTTTAATAGTTAATATAGCATGCATTTATGTTTGTCTATAAATTGCTGCCACTCTGGAAATATTCAAAAAGTTACTTATATTGAAATTGTGTTAAGTTTTATGATAACTTAGGCTGAAAATGATTGTGATGTTTGTTTGTGTGCCATATTTACTTTTGTCCTTCTCTTTTAATAATGAGAATTATGGCACATAGTGGTAGAATTCATCATTATTATAGCATGCTTTAATCTTTTGCAGATCCTTTAGTACCAATGGGTAATACTCCCTCAGGGTCAGCACCTCTGACAAATGGATCAACGGCTCAAGCTATATCCATTCCAGTACCCTCTGGTGGTGATAAATACTCGGCTTTAACAGATCTGTTTAGTTCTTCTCCATTGTCGTCGGCACCTCCACCGGTTAGTTCAAATGTGAACTGGGCAGGAGGATCAAGTGCAGAAATTAATTGGGGAGGAGGTGGAGCTAATACTTCTGCTGGGGGTGGTAGTCTTAATTGGAATAGCAGTAGTAGTGGTCAGGGAGGTGGCTGGAACAGTACTAGTACCGCATCATCTACTAATCAAGGAGTTGATTGGATGTCACCGACTAATACTTCTAGTTCAACAAATGCTTTTCCTGGCACAGGTAAAAGAAAATTAAGAGATAGATTATTAGTATATGCATTTAAAAGATTCACATGCTATTGGAAGGGGATAACATCAATAACTTTGTGCTTTTACTAATGAAGTAGTGAATATTTTATCTTAGCCTGAATATTTGATATACACAACTAAAAATGAATAGGGGTGAAATAAGACAACTTAAGCTAACTTTTGGCCTTTAATACTGATTTTAGATTATCATCAAATTTTGTAGAATTGGTGGGTAGTTTTAAGGGTTTTCTTTGTTTTTCTTTTTTTTTTATACTTTTGGAAAAGTCTAAATAAGGGAGATTATAAATATCAAAGTTTGTTATAATTCACAAAATATTAGAATGTTTTCATGATTCTTACAAATGCTACAGGATTGTTCTCCCATTTTATTTTGTTGACCAATTGCAACTATCCCAATGATAAAATAATGATAATATAATAAATTAGTTATGATGAATCATTTACATTGTATCACCAGGATAAATACAAAAAATAATTAATATTTATATGTCCAAAAAATGTTTGTCATTACGGAAATATTATTGTATTTATATGATATATTTTGTTAGGACAGTTTTTTGCCCATCATGTACCTGTAGGAAAACCAGGCAATCCGTTTTTCACTGACTATGGTACAGTAAACATTCATTTTGGTGCATGAATGAATTTTGCATAGCCTTGTTATACAGCCTGTAAAATAAGATTTATCATGAAGGAAGCATTTTTTATACGACCGCAAAAATTAAAAATTTTTTGGTCGTATATTGGTATGACGTTGGCGTCGTCGTCGTCGTCGTCCGGCGTCGTCCGAAGACACATTGGTTTTCGCACTCTAACTTTAGTTTAAGTGAATGGATCTCCATGAAATTTCACCATAAGGTTCAATACCATGAAAGGAAAGTTGGGATTGATTTTGGGGGTTATGGTACCAACAGTTAAGGAATTAGGGGCCAAAAAGGGGCCAAAAATAAGCATTTTTGTAACTTTCAGACAATAACTTGTGTGTAAGTGTATGGATCTCTCTGACATTGTACCACAAGGTTCCATATCACAAAGGGAAGGCTGTAATTGATTTTGGGGGTAATTGCCTCAAAATTTTAGGAATTAGGGGCCAAAAAAGGGGCAAAAAACAAGCATTTTTCTAGTTTCATGACAATAACTTGTGTGTAAGTGTTTGGATATTTCTGAAATTGTACTACAAGGTTCCATATCACAAAGGGAAAGCTGGAATTGAGTTTGGGGGTAATTGCCCGAAACGTTTAGGAATTGGGGGCCAAAAAGGGGCCAAAAATAAGCATTTTATCTAGTTTCCAGACAATAACTTGTGTTCAAGTGTATGGATCTCTCTGAAATTGTACTGCAAGGTACCATACCACAAAGGGAAGGCTGGGATTGAGTTTGGGGATGATGAATCATAAGGGGGTTCAAAAAATTTGGGGGGGGATTTTTTTTTTTTTTTTTTTTCTTTTTTTCCTTTTTTTTTTCTTTTAAAATTTTCCATTTTAAGTTGGTTATATCTGATTTATATTTAAAAGCAAATAATAATGATATGGTAGGAGATACACACCAAACAGGATGTGTAAATTATTATATAATAAGTATTGTGCAATAGCAAGAAATTTTCAATTGCACAGTATTGCACAATAGCAAGAAATCTTCAATTGCACAGTATTGCGCAATAGCAAGAAATCTTCAATTGCACAGTATTGCGCAATAGCAAGAAATATCCAATAGCACAATATTGCGCAATAGCAAGAAATTGTCAATTGTACAGTATTGCGCAATAGCAAGAAATATTCAATTGCACAGTATTGTGCAAAAGAAGATACTTCGTATAAATTGCTTATTTCTTGATCAATTTCAATGGGGTTTTATTCTTGAATTCTTGGGGTTCTTTAATATGCTGAATCTAACCGTGTATTAAGTTTTTGGATTTTGGGCCCCGTTTTTAAATTGGTCCACATTGAGGTCCAAAGGGTCCAAAATTTAACTTTGTTTGATTTCATCAAAAATTGAATTATTGGGGTTCTTTGATATGCCGAATCTAACCGTGTATTTAGATTTTTAATTTTGGGTCCCGTTTTTTAAATTGGTCTACATTAAGGTCCAAAGGGTCCAAAATTAAACTTAGTTTGATTTTAACAAAAATTGAATTCTTGGGGTTCTTTGATATGCTGAATCTAAACATGTGTTTACATTTTTGATTATGGGCCCAGTTTTCAAGTTGGTCCAAGTTGGGGTCCAAAATTAAACTTTGTTTGATTTCAACAAAAATTGAATATATGGGGTTCTTTGATATGCTGAATCTAAACATGTATTTAGATTTTAGATTTTTGGCCCAGTTTTCAAGTTGGTCCAAATTGGGGTCCAAAATTAAACTTTGTTTGATTTCAACAAAAATTGAATATATGGGGTTCTTTGATATGCTGAATATTACCATGTATTTAGATTTTTTATTTGTGGGCCCTCTATCAAATTGGTTCATATTGAGGTCAAAAGGGTCAAAAATTAAACTTTGTTTGATTTTATCAAAAATTGAATTATTGGGGTTCTTTGATATGCCAAATCTAACCGTGTATTTAGATTTTTAATTTTGGGTCCTGTTTTTTAAATTGGTCTACATTAAGGTCCAAAGGGTCCAAAATTAAACTTAGTTTGATTTTAACAAAAATTGAATTCTTCGGGTACTTTGATATGCTGAATCTAAACATGTGTTTAGATTTTTGATTATGGGACCAGTTTTCAAGTTTGTCCAAGTTGGGGTCCAAAATTAAACTTTGTTTGATTTCAACAAAAATTGAATATATGGGGTTCTTTGATATGCTGAATCTAACCATGTATTTTGATTTTGGACATTGGACCATAATAGGTAAATTAAAAAAATTGAAGTTCTTAGACCACATTCTTTCTGTGTCAGAAACCTATGCTGTGTCAAATACTTAATCACAATCCAAATTCAGAGCTGTATCAAGCTTGAATGTTGTGTCCATACTTGCCCCAACTGTTCAGGGTTCGACCTCTGCGGTCGTATCAAGCTGCGCCCAGCGAAGCATTTTATTTTATTTGAAATTTGGAATTTTAAATATTTAAGAAAAAAAAATCTTTCAGTAAAACACAAGGCAATTCAGTTATAAATCACCTTGCTACTGTTGAGTTATAAACTTTGAAACCGAGTAATAATGGTTGGTTGCAAGATTTAAGACCCTTTTATTTTTTATTTATTATTTATTTAAAATAGAAGATACATTACAGAGGGAGTCATCCAAAATCACCAGTGTTCAACTTTACCAAAAATTTACCACAAATCAGGCAATGGTAATTTTTAGCTGAACCTGCCTTGTGTTGTTTATTACATGTAGGATTAAGATAGATCTATAAATTGTGCTTTTAATTTCCATGAAAAGGAATAAAAATTATTTCATTGAAATTTAGTCATCGAAGTTCAGTTAAACCATGAAAAGAAAGGTTTCTACATGATTTGTTTCATAGTCAGAATGGTATGAGTCTTCATGATAAATTTAGGCATTTTGCATATTTTTTTTTTAATTCTTTTAGTTTTCAGTTCAGGGCCTGTTATTTTATTACATGTATTATATTATGCGATAGTTATAGTTTGATGATATTGATGAGAAATATGTGGATGGTTGTATAAAATATTCAAATACTGTAAATTCAGATATTTATTGTGATGTTGCATTCATGTCCATTGTTCAACAAGCACAAAAATAATTATCATACTTCATGTCAAAATGCCAGATTTTGATTGGTTAATACGAGGGAGACAACTTACTCTATCCTATGGTAAATACTCTATTACCCTTCACAGAGACGCTTGATCAAGTGTGCGCTTTATTAAATATAGGGATGGTTGTTATGTACAAGACGTCATAATTTATTACTTTGAATTTGAAATTGAATAGACAGTAATAACAGAACATTCAGTATGATAAATTAAATAACACATATCTGAGAGGGTGATAGAGCAGATTGTTACCCCTCGAAAAGACATTGTCAACCTTGGCTTCGCTGACACTGTTTTCTCTTGGTAACAGTCTGCTCTATCACCCTCTCAGCTATGTGTTATTTATATAATGTACACAAAAATTTCTGAATTTACAGTAGTAACAGAGACTATTTTAGAGAAAGAAAGTTAATACTTCAAATGTGAGTTAGTATCCATCACTCTTTGGAAACAAAGATCGACCCACTGAGTAAGGATCAGTACTGAGTAGTTAAAATATAAATTGTGATGAATGTCCATTTTAGAGAATTTTTCTTTCATAATATTCATAAAATTCAAAGATAGCTGGAACGCTAGTACAAAAATGTATAGCATTTGCCCTCTAGGAGTTTTATGTTTTAATTTGGTACTTGAATTTCATTTATTCCACAATGCATTTTTATTACAAACTAAATAGTCTTTTTTTAAGATAAATTTAAGAGAATGTCTTTGTAAAACTTGCACATGGTAAATGTAGAATTTTCCATAAAAAATATTGTAGGGTCAAAAATATAATGAAAAATGTTGCATTTACTTTAACTAAATGATAGACATGTGATTTCAAGTTTTCTCTGAAGGATCTATTAGGAACTGTTAAAGTCGAATGGTTTTTACATTAAAATGCATCTAAAAAAAACTTTTTTTTTTTTAATTTTAGACCAGTTGAATTCACATGTTTAGTTAAAGGAGAGTGGCCACTAATTTCATTCAATATTTTGTACATAATTGAGTAATCATATTTAAATATTTTAAGTTTTTTTTATTAAAATTGAATAATTAAAACTTTGGCTTAAAATGCTCAAAACAACAAGTCTAAAGTCATCAAGGCTAATATGCCAGATTGATATTTTTTGTTAACATAGACTCATCAGTGTTGCTCAGATCAAAACATACATACAACAGGCCAAAACGTTACAAAGTTGAAAAAAAAAATTCAACCCTCCCCCTTTTTCCTCCCTTTAAAAAAGTTGTACAAAAGAAAAAAAAAGAAATGTTAAAGAAGGATGGAATAGTCATCAACAAATTATTCTGCATCTATGTTATGCAATTTTGCTTCTCTTAAATTTTGTTAACATTGAAGCTTGAGTAATGCTTACTAATTGAAATCAAATGCAATGATTGCTTCATGTTTGAATGAAAAAGGCATGTTTTGTTTTTATTTGCAAGTGATTTACAAAAAAATGTGATTTCTACTAATCATTTAATGTGATTTTACTAATCAAGTTAAAAATAGAATCTGTATATATGATGATGGATGGCTGTTTAACAACCAATGAGGAGTTAAATGCATATTCAAGACCAGAACATGTTGGTGTGATATGACTATAAATCCTGATTTGTACAAGACGGACATGTTGAGTTGGATTTTTAATGTGCTAGATCACTAGGTAACAGTCCCCAGGAAGAGATTTTACACTTCCTGTCTCATACTTGTTATTATTGCTAATTAGCTCTTTGCTCGTACTCTGAAATGCCTAGTGCTTAGCGGAGAAGCAGCAAATAGGAATGTGCAAGTCTTTGGTTTGAATCAGTTAAGGATAGAACCCACGACCTCTCACACTAGAGGCCAGCAAGAGACCACGAAGGATTTATTGATTTTGTATATAAGTATAAACTTTATTTTTTTGCTCATAGAATAAAAAATAGTTCATACATATCTGTTTTCATCATGACTTTGATTTATTTTATTTTAAACTTACAAAACTTTAATGTTTTAGAATTTTCAGAATATATTATTATATATATTTAACATATTTATTCAAAGGTGATGGGATATAAGGTTGTAAGATTTACAATTCATATTCAATATAAATCTCAGGTGGATTTGGCTTTTTCTGACAATCCAATGTCGAAAAAACTATGCCATCAGGTCAATATATATGGGGGGGCTTGGCATATGTGAGCTTGCTCACTGAAGTTTCTTCATTTCTGACAATCCAATGTGGAAAAAACTATGCCATCATGTCAATATATATGGGGGGGGGGGGGGGGGGGCTTGGCATATGTGAGCTTGCTCACTGAAGTTTCTTCAATTTTTTAATGTTTCTTATTATCTAATTTATCATAAGATAATCTCAGTGTTCTGCCCCAGGATTTTATGATAGCATCATGGTAAGTTTGGTGACACTGATCATGGTATCATAGTGCTATATTTTCTACCCTGGTACCATCTGAATTGTTTTAATTATGAAATGTATAATACATATGACAGGTATTATTTTAGTGCAGTTTGAAAATATTTTGGGAGAACAGGATTTTAGCAGATCATTTGATTTCTTCAATAGGTTGAATCTAAGTACAATCATACCCTTAGAAGAGGTATTTTAATGTAGAAAAGAAGTTCAATAAATGTCTCTAGTTATTGAATTTGATTTGGTTTATCCTTGTTTAAAGAGGCATGATAGAACCATTTTAATGACCTGAGGATCAGTTTGATTTAAGGTTCAGAACCTCGTGGTAAATATATTAATTATCCCAGACTTCAGCAATAGATTTTAATGTATTATAATATATTTCATTTACTTCTTGTTTACATAAATTATATTAATTTTAAGAATATAGAAGATTGTTACCTGGGTAAGTAACAGAAAAAGGTTAGTAAAACAGTGATAAATGTTTAAAATATACATGTACATCCTGTTTTACAAAAATTGAGAGTAATATAACATTATTTGACTCTAGATGGTCCAGTTACAGGTTCAGTGAACTTAAACTGTAAGAGAATGCATTTTGAATGAATTTGAAGTTACAGCCTGAAGTGAATTATCAAAAATAAATCAATTTATTTCTTCTATAGGTGGAACACCAAATCCTTTTGGAGGTAGTGTATCTAGTGTGTCACAAGGTGGAGCTGGTGTTAGTAATCCATTTGGAAGTGGGCAACCAGGAGGTTTTGGGCAAACACCAGTATCTAATCAAATGCAAGGGTTTGGGCAACAACAGCCAACTGGATTTGGACAACCTACTCATCAGCCAGCATTTGGACAGCCCTCAGGGTTTGGGCAGCCTGCCAGTTCAGCTGCAGGATTTGGACAGCAACCTGCAGGTTTTGGACAGCAAGCAGCAGGTTTTGGACAACATGGTCAACCGGCTGCTGGGGGATTTAACCAAACACCTGCAAGTTCTGCAGGTTTTGGGGGACAACCTGCTGGTTTTGGACAGCAAGGTCAACCTGCTGCAGGTTTTGGAGGACAACAAGCTGGGTGGGGAGGGGGTCAACAACAGCCAGGTTTTGGACAGTTTCAAATGCAAAATGGAGGGTTTTCAAGTGCTGCAGGATTTGGGGGACAGCCAGTGCCTGCAAACTATGGAAATACAATGACAACACCTTCAGCACAGTCAAATAAAATGGGAGGAAATCCTGGTGGATTTGGACAACAACAAGGATTCCCAGCTGCACAGCCTGGTGGATTTCCACCAGGTTGGGGTCAGCCTGCTCCTAGTGCTAATCCATTCATGGTAGGTTAAAATTCTTTTGTATGTAGATAAAAATAAAAATTCCTTTCATGAGCTTTGAGATATTTTTATTAGTGCCCAGATTTAATATTGATGCCATAAAACTGACAGAAACATGCAAGTTAAAACAAAGGATTTAATTTGTCAAGAAATAGTTGCTGATAACCAGAGACTTTGGTCTTTGGTGGGTAGTTGGCAATCATACCTCATCAAATTTAAGAATTATCAATATCTGTTCTTTACCTTTTTGTATCAAAATATTACTCAAAGAGTAAAAATGTAATTCTGAAAATTGTGATGTTATATTGCCAAATGTTTGGCTTTGATTTATTTACTTACAGCTGTATATATATATATATATATTTCTTTTCCAGTCTGCTGCCACACAGCCAATAGCACCAAAAACAAATTCAACCAATCCTTTCTTATGATGGTGATGGATAGATCTATACATTTTAGGTAATCAGCACTGGACACGAAGAATTTCATGTTTGATGACGTAGGAAAACATGTTTTGAAACAACATGGTGTGTCAAGCACAATGTTAGCAGACAGCTAAACAAAATTTTGTTTGTATTATTTACAACAGACGAGATTCAAATATCATCAAGTGTAACTCTAGTCAGTTAAAAAGTACAAAAAAATAAGGGAAGGTAAAATTCATGATTGCCTTACATAATCCATGTATATGTTTTATTATTTCTAAACGAGTATGGAGAAAAAAAATATGATATAAGGCATTAGATTTTTCTCTGTAAACAGAAATATATTCGTGTGGCACTGTGTGGCCGACTTCATGGCAATTCTTTTTCGCAATTTTCTTACTTGGTTCATGTATTCATATAAGTGATGATCTAAGTTTGATACATTTTCACATTATTTTTATACTCATGAATGTTGCGTCAATGAATTGGTCTTAAAGTTAGTGACAGCTTTAATTCTATTAAACGAACAAAGACAAATATTTTCATACATTAGCATCATATTTATAAAGATCTTGTCTATCCTTCATAAGCTTCATAATATATAGTTTTAATATGTAGGGTAACTTATGAATATATATATTTCATTTTAGTCAGTAATTGATAGGTTTAGATATGACGTAATTTAAGTTTAAGTTATTTCCCTTGGCCGCCATTTTGGAAAGGTTAATCATTGATTTTACAATTTGACAGATCAAATTGAAACGTAGAGTGCTAACAAGTCTGATAAAAGATCCTTACTAGATCGTAGTGATGAATCAAGAAAGGATGAAATAATTTTTGATTGTGCACAGAACAACTTTTTCTAAAGTCTAGCCGTTAATATAAAGTATAACAAGTTGAATTTGGCTGATTTATGATTGAATTTGTGTACTTAGACCTCCAACATGGCATCAAAAGGGATGTAACTCTTGCTCAAATTGGGCTAATCGAAACCTATTGATAGCATTCTACTTGAAACAGATTTATTGGCTTTGTCAACTCATGTAATCAGCACTCTTTTGGTCAACTAATGTATTCAGAGCGCTATTGGTCAACTAATGTACTCAGCGCTCTATTGGTCAACTCATGTAATCAATGGCCTTTTATGAGTCTTGTTGCTGTTGTTGAGTAGAATGGAATACCCAATTTAATCAGGTTACAACCAGAACTATACATATATTAACTGATTTTTTTCAAGTGATCAACTGTATTTTACCAAGAGCCTTTTTAAAAAAAAAGGTGTTGAAATAAAAATGGATCAGTACAACCTTATTTAAATCGAAAACAAGATCACTTGACTCGATCCTTTTCACTTGAACATTATTGGTCTAATACTTATAAAGCTCTTAATAAAATTCAAGTTATATGATGCAGAAATAATTGTTATTTACCAAGTGAAAACAATTTAAATGTGTGCTTTTTAAATGCATGCTGTTTTGTGTTCTTGTATTTCGTTTGTTCTTTTTTGTTTGTTTGTTTATAGAAGACAAAAAACATTCCACAAGTTCTTCTTAATCTTTACCAAAAACTATGACAAGGACAATCTTAGAATAGGGTCAAGTTATTGCAGGAAGCACTGTATTGATAAGAGCTTTTGTCTGTATAAATGTTTATTCCATGAGCAGAAGAGAAATTGTGTTTTTTTGGGGGTGGGTGGAGAGGAGAAGAAGGAAAAAAATGGCATGTTCTTCTCAAAAGATGTTGAAAGAAGTACAATAATTTAAAAGTTCACAACTGTAAAAGCAAGATTAAAATAAAACATTTTATTAGGTTTATCCAGTCTGATTAAAACCATCCCCACTATCCACTTGTGTTACAACTGCAAGTGGATAGTGGGAGCTGGTTTTAATCAGACTGAGGTTTATCAAGACTCGAGTTTGTTAATACTACTTTGCATTGGAGATAGGTTTGTTGTCTCTTTTCAAAATTGTCTGGAAAAAAAATTAAATGCACTAACTGATTGGTTGTTAGATTGCAGAGTGCTCAAAAAGAGGTGGTCTGAAGATTATGACAGAAACAAAAATTGAAAAGTTCGAACACAAATTTGGTCTTTTGCAATAGAAGTTAAAAAAAAATCAGTGAGGACCATTAAATTTTCTTCAAGGACTACCAGGCAAAAAAATATTGAGAACTCTGATGTTGTACAGTTTCATTGATAACCATTGTCTTACATAATACATGTACCAAGAAATAACATATGTAACAAGATATTCAGATTAGTTGTGAAAATGAAAGATTTTGTCATATTGGAATTTTATATGTACTTGAAATGTATGGTAAATTGTGGATTCATTTGTATTTGTTGGATAACAGTTTTTGTGGATTATGTGGTTATAGGTGAATCACAAATTCAAATGTTCCAACTACTTATTAATTTTCTATAGGCTTGTATGCAGACTTTGCCAAAGCTATGAAATCCAATGCTAGTATACGCTAAAATACAATTTTTCCTCAATCAACGAAAATAAATGAATCTAGAGTAATATGATTATAAATGTATTGAATATGACATGAGGGTTGATAGAAATGGTTGTGAGATGATATGAGTTGTTGTCTAATGTGTGAAAGGCTGTTTTTACATGAATGCCAAGGGGCTGAATGATAGGTGTGATTTAATTGAAAATTGCAGTTCAACTTGGAACCCTAAAAATGAGTTGTCAATCAAGAATAGCTTTTTGGAGAAATTACTTAAACAATATAGTATTCATACTAAAAGTTGGAAATATCTGTTGGAGCTTATTACTAGGCAAAAGAAAACTTGGTAAAACAAATAAAGGTTATTCTATTGAAAGTTCAATTGTAGTCTAAGACTGTAGGGTAGAAACACTTTCCATAAAGTATATATAAGTATATAAGTATGTAATCTAATTAAACTACAGATCCTGTGTCCAATCTTTGCTAACAAGGATCTGAAAACGCTCCATTCTACTTTCTGTTTTAAAGACCTTTCAGAATCCTCTGGTTTTGTAGGAGTGATACATACCTTCAAAAGTTTTAAGGCAGAAATTTCTTGGACGAAAGTAATAAAACCAGAACAAAAAGCATGAAATGGAGTGTAGTCATATCCTTGTAAGAAAAGCTTGGACACAGGATCTGTTTTTTAATCAGATTGAAAAGTATGTGAATATTTGTGCTAGTGGAAGAATTGTGGTAGTAGTTCGTGAGAAAGAGTTTTTTTAAAAATAGGTTTCTATGTGTTTATCATCTTTCACATCATCATCATTAGAAGTAGAAGAAAATCAGACATTATATTAATGGTTTTTATACATGTAGGAAAAAAGAATATTATAAGTTATTACTTCAAAAATAATAAATTTACTGTAAATTCAGAAATTATTGCGTGCATTTATTATTATTGTGAATTTTGAAGAATGGACTGAAATGTGAGATTAATTATTGTGATTTCTGGAAAATCTGCATATAGTTATATGAACCAGATATCAGGATGCAAGTTCTTATTATTGGGATACTAATTCACTAAAAACCACACAATGATTTCTGAATTTACAGTACATGAAACCATGTTGAAAATGAAAAAAAGGAAAACTTAAAGCATAATAATTTAAACATTGTGATTACAAAACAGTACGATTTTGTTAGTCAACTTTTGCTAATTTATTGACCCTGTTTATTTAAGTATAAGTCAAGTCTTCCATTTCCCATAGCAATTTGGAAATTCCTTATTTGGCAAGGGATACTATTAGATTTAGATTTTGTGAGCCCAGTGTAAATTTGTCGGAGATAAAAAAAAAACTTTGGAAATGATGTGACTTTAGCTTTTCAAGATAACAAATCGGTAAGATCTCTCATGAAAATTTGGATGCCGTCGATCTCATAACTACAGTGAACTGAAAAGTAGTCTTTACCCACAATTTTTTGTAAAAAGAAATTCTGACGATTGATTGATAGAATTGCAAAAACAATTTACCAAATTTTTGTTGGAAATATGATAAATGAGTAGGTACTTTGAGAAATTGTTATGTAAGACTTTCAATTTGGCTTCTGTAGAAGGATTTTTTTTTTGCTGATATATTAATGACAACATTATTGTAGTAGTTAAACAATTTTTAAGACGTTTTTGCCACTAGTCTTCTTTAGTATCTTTATTAACCTTCTCAACTACATGGTAGACATGTCACGTTCACAATCATTAAGATGTTTAAGAAACGTCTCTAAGAAATAGTTTCATTACTACAATAATGTTAGATTTGTTCCCTATTGGAATTTCTAAACAAGAATTTAATGACAAAATTTAAATTTTTATTTTAGTCATATGACCTGTTGCTAAATTTATGCTTTATCTTTATGCCCACAGGCGAAACCAGTTTTTTCCCACTATTTCTAGAATTACTGAAAGTAAACAATCTGATGTATGAAGAAAGTGTAAATTTCTTTATAATAATTGCTGGATTGACATTTTTCTTTATAAATACACCCCAAAAAGATAAAAATGTGAAGGTCATAGTCATCTTGGAGATAAAACTCAAATTTTGTTAGTAATATTAGCTAGCTAGTACTGGTATGTTGTGAATGCCATGTTTAATGGTGATATGTTTTAATGATGCTGTTTGAATTTTACAGTTTGTTATTTGTTTATTTATTTGTAGATTGTTGTTGTTATTTTTGCTGTGAATAGTTATAATTTGTAAAATTTGAAAAAAAATTCCAAAGGAATGAATTTGTTTGTTTACAAATTTGTCAGAAAACTTTCCTCTATATCGCCCATAGAGACTGAATACTTTTTCATCCATGTGGTGTTCCTTAACTGAAACTTTCTTGTGTACATTTCTTTTCTAATTTCATTTGCTTTAAATGGGAGCTGGTAAGATTGAAAAATACCTCAACATAAGACTTTAATAAATACTCTAGAAAAATCAATGAATTAAAGAAAAAAACATGTGAGAAGTTAGACAGAGGGCAGGGGAGCTAACTCTTTATATCAGTAATGCGTTTAAAATAGCTAGTTCATCATTACTTTTTAAAGCTTTTATGTGAAACGGAACTAGAATAAGTTATGTCCCTTATCTTAAGTCAACATTCTTCAGGGGCTTTAACTGTGTTAATGTCATGTGAGATCATATATAATGGTTAAAGAATTTTGCATTGTTACCTTGACTTTGACTCGGGGGAGAAGTTTGTTTCATTATCAGCAGGCAATACTCTCAAAAGAGTTTCACACTTGAGGTTTCATTTCAATCATAAAGTACTGACTTTCACTAACTTTCATCATGTTCAAAATGGTTATCATATGTCTGTTTGGTTCAAGTTCACATCTTGTACATAAGAATTGTTAAAAAAAAAACCATTATAAATACAAGAACTTAAATTATGAAATGGATATTAGCTATATAAAGTTCAATTTTAAACCATATTCATTTTGTATTATATATAGATGCTGTTATTCATGCCACATATAACTGTTATCAGGATAATGGAAAGAAATCAATGAAGACTTGAATAAAGTGCATTACAAGTCACTTTGAAAAGTCCACACCCTTAAAGAGAGGCATTGAAGATTTGTAAATTGTTTTTGCTTTGGGTCATTAAATGACCAAATGTCTTCCTTTTAAATGTACAAAATGATTCTAGTTGAAGGTTTAAATGGTTGTTGAACTAAGAAAAATGTTGTAGCATAAAGAAAGAGTTTGTTTGCCAAAAAATAACGCATGGTAAATTTTTTGGTGTAATTGATTTCTATACATTTTGTGTGTAGATAATGAAAAAAAAATGTCTTAATGAACTTGTTTCCAAATCTTTTTTGTTTCAAAATGAAACATATCAGTTTTTCACTAAGCCGAAAATCCAAGATTGAAAAAATTGTGATAAGTATAAAAATCTGCGATTTGACATATTAATAAATAAATGGGTGAATAATCAAGTAAAAGGACTGAAGTTTTAATGAATGTTTGCACTGTGAATATGAATGACAGAAATATTTTAATAAGGTGAATGTGCTGACTTTTCTCATCAATATAAAATTATTTACAGTTTATATTTATGTGCTATGAATGTTTATTTCATATTTTCACATTGTTAATTTCATTTTTTTATTTGTACATAAATTTATGTACATTGCTTGTAGCTATTGATATGTATATATTCCGTGATCAAAAGAACACTATAAATATTATGTGATCAATATTACATAAATTTTACCACATTATATGGAATCCTTGTTCATTATGCCAAAAATACCCCCTTCCCCAAACTTGTTGTATACAGCAATGGCCTGGTCTGTCTTTATTTATTATTAATGCTTGATGACTTATTCCTCCTGCCTCCCCCTAAAAAAAAACCGAAAAGGTAACATCTGAAAACTGCAAAGTGATGACATGCAATCTGACTAAAGGTCCAAAATATTTTACCCTCCACAACGTTCTTGCAAGCCCACTGGGAAGTTGTACATGAGAAAACTCCTGAAGAAATTTAATGAAATTCCTGATCTCCTTATGATTGCTTGAATGTCTTTAGTGATGCTCTTAAAGTTCATATTATGTTATGGTGTTGTCTGCGTCTGAAGACATTTTGGTTCGCAGACAATAACTTGAGTATAAGTTCATGGATCTCTATGAAATTTTAGCACAAGGTTCCATACCACTAAAGGATGGTAGGGATTGTTTTTATACGACTGCAAAAATTAAAATTTTTTTGGACGTATATTGGTATCACGTTGTCGTCGTCAGCGTCGTCCGAAGACAGATGGTTTCCAGATAATAACTTAAGTATAAGTAAATAAAAATCAATAAAATTTTAACACAAGGTTTATAACCACTAAAGGAAGGTTGGGATTGATTTTGGGGGTTATGGTCCCAACTGCTTAGGAATTAGGGGTCAAAAAAGGGGCCCAAATAAGCATTTTTATACGACCGCAAAAAAATTTTGCGGTCGTATATTGGTATGACGTTGGTGGCGTCGTCTTCGTCCGAAGACACATTGGTTTTCGCACTCTAACTTTAGTTTAAGTGTATGGATCTCAATGAAATTTTACCATAAGGTTCAATACCACAAAAAGAAAGTTGGGATTGATTTTGGGGGTTATGCTACCAACAGTTAAGGAATTAGGGGCAAAAAAGGGGCCAGAAATAAGCATTTTTGTAACTTCCAGACATAACTTGTGAGTTAGTGTATGGATCTCTGTGACATTGTACCACAAGGTTCCATATCTCAAAGGGAATGCTTAGATTGATTTTGGGAGTAATTGCCTCCAAATTTTAGGAATTAGGGGCCAAAAAAGGGGCAAAAAACAAGCATTTTTCTAGTTTCATGACAATAACTTGTGTGTAAGTGTATGGATCTTTCTGAAATTGTACTATAAGGTTCCAAATCACAAAGGGAAAGCTGGAATTGAATTTGGGAGTTATTGCCCAAAACGTTTAGGAATAAGGGGCCAAAAATAAGCATTTTTCTAGTTTCCAGACAATAACTTGTGTTCAAGTGTATGGAGTGCCTCCCCGTGCTTCAGGTTTATGCTCTTATAATATACTAGATTATGGAGTGTGTGTCCGAGCGAGAACTGCTCTAGTTCATTACTTTAGGAATATTTATCAAAAAGTAGTATTTCAATATTCAGCCCCATTCTACTATTTAGTCAGACGTCAGTCGCTACCCTGATATACCCTTTCTTTTTCGGGTAATTAATACGGATAGCGTTTGACATCTTTAGTCGAACAGATTTATCATTTTTACATAATTTAATTCATTGTATGCTGGTTCATATTCTGGACGCCAGTCTTTGCTCCTTTCTAATATAATTCACAAACAAAAAACAAATATGAAGCTTAGAAATGGAAAAATATTAAATACTAAACTCGTTCAAAGGGTATCTACACGTCTCAATCTTCAAAATCGATTATCTAAAAATACTACCATCGCTAACATTTTTAACAATAAAAATCGTGGTTACCCTTCTATCGATAAGTGTCATGCCAAAAAATGACTTACATGTCCACGTCTTTCCACCAACAATACGGTAAGGTCCACGTTTAATGGTCGCACATTTTCTTTAAATTTTGAAACTGATATAACTTGAAAAACAAACAGTATAATTTATTTACTCACATGAAACAAACCGGGATGCGGTATTCAGTACGTAGGTGAAACTGGACGATATTTATCTAAACGCACTCAAGAACATCTGTATCGTTTTAAAAGACCCAATAAATTCAAAAGTATCATTTATCAACACATTAAGAAGCACAATCATCCTATTAAATATTTAGCAGTTCAACCTTTAGAAGTAGTAAATAAGCAGCTTGGTGAATCTCATTCAAAGTTTGTACGATCGCGGAAAATAATTGAATTAAATTGGATTAAAAAATTACAGACAGTCTACCCTCTCGGTCTTAATTATAATATCATGGGAATTGGTAATATATCAAGAACCGATTCTGTTAACATTTTGGATATAGTTTCTAAAACTGTTCGTAAAAACCGTTCTCATGGTCGTAGAAAAAATCGCAATCAAAGAAAATTTCGGACCAATCATACCAATATTTCGGATCTAATTTCTATTTCAAAAAACAACGGCAGACATTATCTGTTAACAAAGCTCTGTTCATTACCGGTTAATAAGTTAAATAAAATTTTAGAGGATTGCAACACAATTTCATATAGCAGTCCTAAGTATGAAATCGTTCAAATTATAATGGCATATTGTTATTCTAAACTGTTTCCCAAAATTGATCGCCCTGAAGATCATAAAAAATAGTTTATTAAAATAAAGTATGTCAATAAAGGTTTTGATTTTGTAAATATTGCCGGTATTTTTAACGACCATTCTGTTAAAGAACAAGTTCCGGGATATTTTGACAATACTGAGCCCCCTCTTATTTGTTATATTTACAAGAAATCTACCCGGAAATTTGTGTTTAATTATAGCCAATTGTATAAAGATGTTTATATCAGTGAAAATACACCTACTTCATGTAATTGCAGTAATTCCGAATACATTTATGGACCCATTTCCCATGTTATAACAGGAGATCTTAACATCGTTCAAGACCGAGAGTTAAAATCATTCCTCAGTAAAGGACCTAAATATCGTCCCCCGTCAATTATTAATTGGAATGAGTGTCGTAATATCATCCACGACTCACTCCATACTTACTGTTTGAAATGGATAAAACGGGAAAAAGCTGACAAAAAATCTTTGGACTCTTTTTTTAAATCAGTAATGAACATAGTTGATATACGTATTCAACATTTTAAAGAACATTTTACTCTTAACAATAACCACAATAAACCTATTTCTCGTATCAAACATAAACTAAAAGAACTAGCCAAGGAATTTGTTTTTGTCCCGGCCGATAAAGCTGCTAATAATATTATTATTGTATGACGTAAATTTTACATTGAGGTTCTGAAAAAAGAAATCACCAATTCACCAACATTCCAACTGACTCCATTTTCAGAAAACGACATCTGTAACAAACATAAACTTTTAGTTACCGCTTTACAAGCAGAACCAAATACAATGAAAGTTCCAACTATGTATTGGCTTCCGAAGCTACACAAAACACCTTACAAATATAGATTCATTTCGTCTTCAAGCCATTGTTCCACTACTAAAGTGTCTATACTTCTTACCAGTACACTTGGTACAATCAAAAACCTGATAATAAATTGTTCAAATAAGGCCTTCGAAAATAGTGGAATTAATTACTTTTGGAGTGTCAAGAACTCGTTGGAAGTACTTGATAAATTGCATGCATATATTGGTGATTTTGAATCTGTTCAAAGTTTTGATTTTTCTACCCTATATACCACATTGCCTCACATTCTCATTAAGAAAAAATTCACACACCTAATTAAATGGGCATTTAAAAAGTCAGAATGTGAATATATATGTTCAAACTCTTTTAGGTCATTTTTTAGTAGCAATAAACAAAAAAACTATGTCAATTGGACATGCTTTGATACTATATATGCCCTTGAATTTTTACTAGATAACATTTTTGTTCGCTTTGGAGATTCCGTATATCGTCAGGTTATCGGAATTCCAATGGGGACTAACTGTGCACCACTTATTGCGGACCTTTTTTTGTATTGCTATGAGTTACAATTTATGACAAAAATCAGCAAAGACCGATCGAAACAACATCTGATACACAAATTTAATAATACTTTTAGATATTTGGATGATATTTTGGCTCTCAATAATGACGACTTCAGTATGTATACTAAAGAAATTTATCCTGTTGAACTTACTTTAAATAAAGCTAATACTAACAATGACCACTGCCCTTTCCTCGATCTTGATATCTATATCATTAACAGAAAGCTTAATACTAAAATATATGATAAAAGAGATGATTTTTCTTTTCCTATCGTTAATTATCCATTTTTAGATGGTGACGTTCCCTTGTCACCATCTTACGGTGTTTATATATCTCAACTTGTACGATTCGCTCGTGTATGTAACAATGTTTTAGATTTTAACGAGAGAAATTTATGTATTACTGAAAAATTATTACACCAGGGTTTTCGATATCACAAACTAGTCAAAACATATACTAAATTTTATCATCGGTATAAGGACATCATTCGTAAATATAGCTCAACATGCAGACTTCTTATACGTTCAGGTATTTCACATCCAATTTTTTATGGAAATATTCTTTATAAAGCACAAAAATGTCAGTATTCACCTCTGAAGCTAACAAAACCTTTAAATAGACTTATTAAGAAGGGATATAGTTACGATACTGTTGTCAGGTCATTAAAGATTGCATATTTTGGCGTTAATATTGATTCACTTATAGGGTCTTTGCATCGGCACTAAACACATTTATTTAAAAACCAGTTGTTGGCATGACACGGGTTATGTTCTTCTCATATATGTTATGATGGTATGATACTAAACCCCTAACGGGAAGGATTGTGCCTGATATTCATATGATGAAGACATAATCTTTCAATCAGTTTAATTGAAGTCTGGAGCTGGCATGTCAGTTAACTGCTAGTAGTCTGTTGTTATTTATGTATTATTGTCATTTTGTTTATTTTCTTTGGTTACATCTTCTGACATCAGACTCGGAATTCTCTTGAACTGAATTTTAATGTGCGTGTTGTTATGCGTTTACTTTTCTACATTGGCTAGAGGTATAGGGGGAGGGTTGAGATCTCATAAACATGTTTAACCCCACCGCATTTTTGCGCCTGTCC